GTAATATTAACTTTACAAGGAACACAAACACCAGCAAACAGCACGTATCTTAAAATATTAAAGAGCAAAAATAACAAAATTCTTGGTGTATCCTCTGTCTAAAATATCTGCCCAACTTCAACCATTACTTAAAATAGTAATTGAGGCTTATAGGCATTATTCTATATTTCTTCTTTGATGTCTTCATTGCTGCTGAGACTCTGCCATGAGTACACATAAAGTCCTTAAGGACCTTGATTAGTCTCCAACTGAGAGCTCAGTCCCACAGACCCTGCCTGCAGGCCCAGGAGCCCATACAAACTCAGGCCTGGGCATTCACTCCCTGTCTGAGCTCTGCTGTCAGAGTGACTGTTTTTCAGCTCTGCTACAGCTATGCTTGTGTTTGGCTGTGCACCTTGTTGATCCAGGCTCTGACCCATGCATAGGCTTCTTGGCTTGGCCTTGGCCCCGACTAATCACTGCAATTCTGCTTTGTGATTACTGGGCTGTATTTGACCCTTGATAGACCTGACCCTGAACCTTATGTATATATATTGACTTTCTAGCTTGACCCTTGAACTGACCCTGTCTGGATAACAATGGATAACAGGAGCAACAAGGGAACCCACAGAGACCAAACATCTTGGTTTCCAGTCTTAGTTTTGCCTTCACAGTACGAGTGAAATTAAGTTGTGCAGTACAGAATGGTAACAATGCTATTTAATTACTGTAATGTACAAGGCAAGTCTTGGGGTGAAGTATGTATTTAAGGAGTACATGGGTAGAACCCTTGAATGTATGAAATCTTTTTCCTCAAACAGCCATAAGAAGTTCTTCAGCAAAATCAGCTTCATAAGATTTTGATCTTCTAAAGAATCAGCCTATTAGTGCAATGCTACTCAATGTGACAAATGTTAAGAGGATTAAGCAAAGACTTGTTAATAGACATTCTAAAATCATTATATTCAAACACTACAACAGAGGAAAAAGGAATGTGAAATTAAATCTTGACTGTTTTCCACTTTACTCATAATGCTTCATCCTTTTTCTTAAGGGTGAAACTTTTGTGGTTTTTCTTGTTATGGACGCCTTCAAGACTGCAAAAACTATTCCTAATTTTAGCACAGTAAACTAAAGACCTTTTAATACTTTTTGGATGCTGAGGGAACACCTTAGAATAACACACAGTTTAGAAATCAATGCCCTTGTTGGGATGAAATGTGAGCTACTCGAATTCAAGAGCTTGGTTCTAGCTCAACATGCTTATTAATTTCTTATTTTCAACACAGGTTTTTCAAACTGGCATTTCTTGAGGAAATAGTATTCTGTCAAAAGTTCTTAGCCAGCTTAACTTGTGCAGTGCTTGAAATAAGTGTGGGCTTGAGTTCCTGGATAGTAAGAGATGAAACAACTACATCACTCTGAAAAAAATGGGACTTGGATGCTTAATACAGCATTGTGGATTTTGCAAACCTTTCTGCCTCAGTGACCTGAGTCTAAAAATACAATTTATAACTGAAAAAAAGTCCTGAAACAACAGACAGAGTCCTTCACCAGTTCTATCAGAGACTTTTCAATATAAAATTAAACCCAGTTTTCAAAATAAGAGCCACAAGATGGCAGAAGAGAACAGGAAACGTGAAAAGATTGCTATGCTGAATGCTTGTTCTGAATATATAACACTTCTCAATTCTAAAGCACAGCTGAAGGTTCCTGGCTCTGTTTTAAAATCAAATGGACATGAATATAATTCATTAGTGACTATGTTTTAAAAACAGTCTCAGCTTTGAAGTTTCTGAAGGCAATTCTACAGTGAATGCTAACACTGCAATAACAGTTCAGGTTATGTGTTACAGTTAGGACATGGAACATGCACTGTGTTTGTAGATTGTCCATACTCCCTCACCTTATCACAGTATGAGGTGTCTGATAGCTGTTTTCCAATTGCCATTCTTAATTTCTACTCAATTGACCATACAGAGAATTTTGCAGTTCTAGAAGACATAGCCTTAACTCTTACAGTTATGACTATTTAATCTGTACTGGAAGACCTTATAGCATCCTTTCCATTAATTCTATCACTTAAATGACTGACACTTTACACATTCCACAAAAATAGCTTTTTTTTTTATCCGAAACTTTCCATTTATTTTAACCTAACTGAATGCAGTTAAAAATATTGAATCCTTCCTAAGAACAACAACCATAACTTTAAAAATAACTATACTTTATAAAGCGAAAGAAAACATTAAAGAATGAAACAAGATAGAAGTCTATTATCTCTCGACTTATCAGTACAAGAATTTTTTTTGTACTTTTCTTAGTAAATGTGTTATAAAGCTTCAGAAATCTTAGATGCCATCACATCCTTGTCATACCCAACTTGTTATGTTAGCAGGAGCAGTGTAAGCCACTCAGCCTCTCAGCAGAGAGCATTATGACTTCATACTGCATTTTACAGCATTATTTTTCTTTAACCTATTAACAGTGGAGATCAAACTGAGTTTCCAGATAAAGAACATTTTTAGTGATTACTTGACCAGACAAGAAAGCATTTAGAAAAACCTAGAACTGCCTTGCAACAGAAGTTACTTCACTTCCTTCTCTGTTCCTGTACGCTTAGCTTCCACAGTCGAACTTCTCATTTTCATTCTAAGAACATATGTTTCTTTAATCTGAACTGACAGACCTCTTTTGCTTTTCCTCTCCAACTAGATGCAAAACTTTCTTACTCTTCTTCCCTTACCCATACATGCAGGAAAGGAAGCAATGCAAGGGTCGTAGTTGTAGGAAATAAAGACAAACTTCACCACTGTTAATATTCTCTAATTTTGCATCTTCTCAAGTTCTTATTCTCTCACATGCTTGTATATGGGAGAATTTGCACATTGTCCATGATACATGTCCTCTTCTAGGTTCTTTTACTCCTTTCACTCAAGTCCTGCCTACAATCTTTCTCTTTTAAGTCTTGTTAATAGTAACCCTAATAAAGTTCCGTAACTGTACTCTCAACTGTCCTTCAGATATCTCTTAACTTTTGCTCTGCTTCTTCCTGCTGAATGTTCTGCTGATTTGATTAAAGAAACAAAATTCTTTATTTAGAATAATGCAGCTCCCTGTTTTCTACCTCCAAACAAGGATCTTCCATTTCTTTTGTCACAAAACTCCACAAAACTCCACTCTTTTAATCCACATCTCTGTAACAACTATTTTACCATGATGTTTACAGAAAACAATAAAAGGCAATAAAAGTAAGGCCTTTGAGACCCGTATTTTTCCTTTGTTAGTTTTTTTTTGAATGCTTGTTGAATATTGGCTTCAATCCTGTTAGTACATGATGAATTCCCTTTATGCAGCACAACTCTACTACAGCACATGTGATAAATTCCTGCTGTATGCCCATAGAATGTTCATCAGGCTGATAAGATTTAAGTTAGAGCTTGATGTTAGAAGATTCTCATTTTTTACAAACAAATGAGAAGTTCAAAGCACCTGGAATCTTTTTTTTTCTTTTCACCTCCCAGTACACAGTGTTCTGAGCAGTGTTGCATTGATTCCACGTAATGTTCCGTGCACTTCAGTGTAAGCTGAGGTGATTTGACTCAGGTGACTGAAGTCACCCCCACTTAGCTCAGCCTTTCTTCTTGCTGTGTCATGAGAAATAGCTAGACACTGAAGCCACAGAGACAGGCTTCATAAACAAGGACCACAGAATTGGGAAGTAAGAAAAACAAGAGGAACTTAAGCAAGATGAAACCTCATTTTTCTCAGACAGAATTTGGAATACCTGAGATATCACTGAGTTATCTGAGTTTATTAGTAAGACTGCTTTTGTCTCTGGGTCACTGCTTGGAACTGCTTGGGATCAAGGGAAGTGTTTGCTATTAACATTCCAATACAATCTACAGAATGAACACAAAATGTAGTCAACAGCAGTCATGAAGTATCACCATCATAAGATGCAGCATTTTGCACCAGATCAATGCCAGGTTTTAGGTTTGGCTGGGATTCAGTATTTTAAGGCAAGAATATCCAATGCCTGCTGGCTGTTTTAGCGTGTAGTACTGTCAGACCTCAGGTTAGTATAAATGGAGTGGTAAATGTTGCAGCATTGACAGGTGTGTTGTATACATTTAAAAGGAAGAAGCAGTCAACCATGTCATCAGCTTATACGTCTACATCAACTCTTGTGGATCTGCTTATGTTACAGCCCTGCTGCCAAAATATTACATCAGTGGCTCTTATCAGTGCAAACCAGCATTTGCAAGAATTAGCTCCATCTGCTTTGTAGAAAGGTGAAATTAGTCAAGGCTGCTGCTTTAGCATCCTTTACTGCAGTAGGCAATACTGCACAGACTATGTATCTGGTCCCTAAGCTCTTTATAGTTCATCCTGGGTTGGGCATTAGGCATTAAAATGCAAGAAATGCACCTGGAAGGCTTCTTGAATAGCAAATAGCACCAGAAGAGATGGATGCCTCACACACACACATGATTAAACGGCTCAGCTGATCTCCTAGGATTGATGATAACTAGGTGCAGGACAGACTGATAGAAAATTCCACTCAAGTTGTGAAGGCCTAGGACCCTAACTAAGTTACACTATTTTTGTGCTTATTGTCCCTTCATCAGTTCTGTTGTTATTGAATAGAATGACTGTTATCTTAAAAACGTACTAGGAAATATCTTTGCTTTTTTATACAGTAGATAATAAAGTTGCTACCATTATTAGAAGGTACTGCTATATTTAATATGCTAGCAGCAATTAAGGAATAATTATTGGGGTGAAAAAAGTGGTAGTTTTATTGGATTAAATTTAAAGGATTTCATCTGCTTCTTACTCTGCCATAAACAAGGTCCTGCTGAAGTTTTCTCTCTTTTAATCTCAGTGAAGGAGTCCAATTGATGGAAAGTCATTGGTGTGGGAAAGTATGGTGTGAGCTTCCTTTTCAATGAGAAGAAAAAATGTCTTTTTCATAGAAAGCAGGAATAACAAATACGTATGCAAAATGATTAGAAATATTCTATTAATATATAAGGATTTATTTCTCTGTGTTGTTCCACTTCACAAGCTAAACTGATGTAACTCAAATTTCCTTGTCTTAAATAATAAGCTCTTCAATATTAAGTTCTAGTTAGTCTTTCACAATTTCTCTGTGAGTTACAAAACTATCTGCAGCTGTCCAAAACACAATCTGCAGGATATTACAATAGAAAGATAGTAACAGTAAGTCTCAGTAGTCAGTAGTTATCTTCATCTTATTACAAATCAATGATTAAAAAAATAAGCAAAAGAAAGTATAAAAAATGTCAAGCACAAACAGAAATTAAAAATACCCATTGAAAGCAAACATTTGATGCCATGCAGTTTTTTCACAGTGAGTTTGCATTCACAAAAGAAAAATAAATTCCTTGCAAGTCCTAAATGTATTTGCTTCTTTAAAGCAAGTTCTACTCTATTTTACAAGAGAAAAAAAAATGCTTCTATGTGCAAGGTGAAATTCTTAGGATATCAGGCACTTCATACTATTGCCATAACATTCTTACATGTAAAAGAATCTCACCGATGTCTCCTTCCCTCACTGTAGGCTTTGATTAAATTCCTCCAGAACTTTAATAGACATCTTGAGAGCTCAACTGAGTCAAATCATTTGAGAATACTCATACTATGAATATTAGATATATCAATAGTTCAGTTGCCACTGAGTTATGTATATAAATGAAGTATAGCTTGAGGTCTGTAACTGTCATGAAACACAGATTTCTTGTACCTTTTTCTGAAGATGCATGCCATTCCTAATGCTTTACTTCACATTAACATAAGATTCTTCTGTAAATGAAGTTGTGTAAAAGTTGTTACTTTTAAGCCTAAATGAAGTCCTGTATAAAAATTTTATGTGCCATTAATCATCTTGAAATCCATTCTTACCCATAATAAGAATCCAAGCTTGCTCACTTAGAACTTCAGATTATATATATGGGGATTTTTTGACCACTTCAGGTTTTGCTCCACAAAAACAAGTTTTAAATTTCCAAATTTTGTTTTCCATGTAAATGTTGTTTTCCACATTTTTTTCTAAAAATCACAACTCTACTGCAGAGTAAAAATATTGCATTCCTTACTTCAAACCTCCAGCTACCTTGATGAGGTTCTCAGCATCGTTGATTCTGTGATGTGGATACCAGCTTAGGAACCAAACAAGGCTTTACTGACAACTCTTTTAAAACATACAAAACTGTACTAACATTTACTTGTCCCTACGTGTAAGAACTACTGAGTGGATGCCCCAGGACCCCGTTATTAACTAAGTTTATGTTCTTTGTTAGAGATTTTCCATGCCTACTGAAGCAGTCTCTTGTTTGACTACAGAATGACTCTTCTTGTCTTCGTCTGTTACAGTCTGACTCATCTGTTCAAAGAGCTTGGATATCTTGGCAATTCTCAGGTGATTCTGAAATTTTCGTGCAGCAAAAGCATAAAGTAGAGGGTTAATGCAGCTACTGACAAACACAAGTGCTCCAGAGATATACTCTCCTATGTCTACAATTTTTTCCAGAGTCAAATACATTTCCTCAGAGTGCTCTATCTCAATTGAAATGATATCTAGGATGTTGAAAAGATGATGAGGAAACCAGCACAAAATGAATGCCACCACAATGCTGGTAATGAGCCGTTCTGATCGCTGCTTTGACCGGTAAGTCATTTTGCTTATTCTTTTTGCAACACACACATAAGAGGTGCATATAATTAGAAAAGGAATTACAAAACCTGCAAGAGTTTCCAGCAAAAGATACGACACTTTCTGTTTAATAGAGGAGTAGTTGCGACACGTGCATTGCTGCCCACCATTGATTTCGTCTGTCTCTTGAAATGGAATGATAGAAATACCAAGAGCTACAGACAGGAACCAAATGAAGACCATGATTATAGAAGTCTTTTCCTTTGTTCTGTATCTCTGAACAGCAAAAGGGTAAAACACAGCCATTAATCTCTCCAAGCTCAGTGCTGTAATCAGAAATATACTAGCATACATGCTGCAGTAAATAATGAAGACCAGTATTTTGCAGAAGATGATTCCAAAAACCCAGGAGTCAGCAAAGGAGTAAATCCAGATAGGCAAAGTGATCAGTACGAGGATATCTGCAATGGCCAGGTTCAAGATCAGCAGGACTGAAGGAGACACTTGCTTCATTTTAGTACAAACAGTCCAGATGACAATGCAATTTCCAGGAGTCCCAATAATAAATGACAAGCTCAGTATCACGCAAACTACCAGCTTCACAGTGTTCCATGTCACATGGGTACTGGTTTCCTCAGCTTGACTCATTCTGGATATTCTTCAGACGTTTTCGAAAGGTAATATCCTTGGCACTTTGCGTTCTGCTTTTATTCTGACAGTGCAAGCAAACAATCTCAGAGAAACTTCCCTTACTGATATCATGCAGTCTAGTAAGGCATGTGACCTCACATCCTAATGCTCACAAACATCTGACCGCATACGTTCCTGTTGTTTAGGAAAACAGTATGCATTTTTGCATGCAAAGCAAAAATAGAAATACAGTGTTGTGTTGTGCCTGGCTTTCCTCTTAATTGCAAATCCATCACACCTAGCAGATTTTACAGCATGAAGATAGTTTTTCAGAAGTCTCTTTTTTTAAAATAGCCCGCTACTTGGTTAAAACTGCCTGTGAGGAGAGTGAGGAATTATTGCATGCTCAGTCTTCAAGTAATCTCTTTTCTAAAAATTCAGGAGAGGTCTGTTGATTGTGCCTTAGAAACATGCTGACATAAAGAAACCAGCTTTTGCAGAGACAAGTGCAATAAAGCGAGAGGGAGTTGTTTTTCTAATGTTCTTCAACCAAACAAAACCACCAGAATGGTCTGCATGTAAGCTCAGGAGGAAACAGTCTGTTTCTCAGAAAACATATATTTCCATTGTCCTGCTGTGCCATCAATATGCTGTGACATAAACCCCTAGAAAATTCGGTAGTTAATGTAGTATTCAAATTTTTTGTGAATCAGAAGTTCTTCACTGTCTACCCAAAGAATATATAAGTACTACTTTGTTACTATGATGTCAGAACATTTTATTTTGAAGTCTGGTTCCAAATAATTAAAAGAGGAACTAAAAGAACAGCACCAACAAAAAGAGGCAAGTCACAGAAGTGAAACTAGAATGGGATTTTCTGTAAAATAAGCACTGAAAGAAGGAATTATGCATACTGTGCTCTGCTTAAGACTGTGATACAGATTATTTCCTTAAATACTGAGGTAGAATTGCACAAACCTGGCAAATATAGCGTCCAACATAACCAGAATGGAAAAAGGATTGCAACACCTCCTCCCAGCGCCAATCGGCTTAGCTGTTTTCGATCTCCTAAGAGTATAATGAGATCAACAGCAAATCCAAGAGTAACTCTACTGAAGTCAAGAATTACTTTATCAAAACACTATGTGAGATTTTAATTTGGATTTCATCTGATACATAATGCTGCTTCCTTTTATTTTTAATTGCATTTATTACGCACTGGGCAGAGAAAAATGCAAAGCAACTGATTGTGTTCTAAAGGGAATTTCTGAAAACCGTGCTTAAAAATCCATCAATGAAAGGAAGTGCTGGGCAGTGTCTCATCTTCTAATGAAATCACTGTTATGCATGTCATTATTTCTCCAGAAGTTGCTTTGGAAGCATTTTCTTATTGCCAGCGTTATATCTATTCTGTACTACACTGCAGACACTTATTATTTAAAAAAACATTCAAGGTGAGATGCTGAATATATGCTGAATAAGATCTTCCTCTTCATAAATTCCCACTGTTTGCACAGATATTGACTCGTAGCAACACTGCTATAGTTCCTATTCAGTGATGTGTGGATCTGGTTCTACTTCTGAAGCACTTGTCCTTACATTTTTCAGAAACATGTTTCTTCCACTTCATTTGAACCATGCTTTCCAGGAAGTCTTTGCCTTCATTTGTATCTTTAATTTAAACAAGAAACCAGATGGATCTTGGAATTGCAGCAGAAGTCTGAGATTTCTCTTTCAAAAAAGATCTCAGACAGGTGAAATGCTGAGATTTCCTGAGTATCATTCTGAAGGCAGGCTTTTAGATGAAGTAACGTAGATTTTAGAGTTAACATTAGATGAGGATCATTGTTTTTTAAGAGCTCTCTGTGATTGTTGGATCACTACAAAAATTTCAGACACACCTTAAGATGTCTCCAAATGTTCTCTAAAAGAGAACTGTTATTTTTGAAATTTACCCTAGTAGGACACAAACCCCTGGGAAATGTAACAGGTATTTCCAATAGCAGCATAATATGCTTAACAACATACTAAACACATCACAAGTGTAGCCATCTAGTGTCCAAACGTGGAGGGGTTTTTAATGTCTGAACACAGAGCTGAACTTCTGCCCTCATAAACTTGGTCTGCTTTAACAGCAGTGAATTTAGGCTGCATTTCTGTGTCTAAAAAGCAACTCTAAATATAATTTTGTGTGTGTGCGTGCATATTATATATTATTTCTATATGTGGTGCAACAGCAGAGTCATCAGCATGGGAAACTTCAAGTGTGAAAATTTACCTTTTGGTTTGAAAATAACTTCTGAAAACATTCAAAATCAGAATCAAGAAAGTCTGTGCTATTACTATGAAAAATTCTGAATTGAATTTGCAGTGTTTTTAGTATAAGGGGGATGCTTCATTCATCTTTCAAATTGTCTGGTTTTCTTTCTAAGCGTGTGTTTCCCCCTGGTGGACAGTTTGCAATTTGCTGAGTTACCACCACTGAGCATTTTCAGACAGCTAATGGTTTTGGATCAATAAAGGTAAATGATAATTTATATTTCCATCTTTAGTATGTTTCTCCTTAGAATTTCATTCCCAGAACTTTTTAACTTTGGGCTAACAGCTTCTTCTCAAAGCACATCCATCCTCCCATCCAGTAAAAGCATCTCTTAACAGCTTGCAGAATAGCTGATGCATGGGAAATTCGTATCACATGTAAAGGTATGAATAACTGCCCCAGAAAGACTTTTACAATTCTCTCCAACTGTTTTCTTCAGAACGATCCACTGGATATTCAGCTTTAGAGTACCTGATCATTAATCAATGCCAACTATCACGTATCTGCTGAAATGCTGGAAAGCGACGTCAGTAATCTTGTTTGCCTGCTGATCCTGAAGGAAGTTAGTAGTCTAAATCTTTTAGTTCTTCAGCCATTGAAAGAAGATAGCATTTGTACGATTGACATGGCTGTCTCACAACAAACTCAGATAAATGGTGTTATAAATGGCTGTGTGAAACTCACACATTACTTGATCCGAAAATCATGGGCTAGTCCATCTCCTAAGCTAGGGTAAGTTGGTATCACTTGCTAGTGAAAAGCTGCTGTAAACACTGCTTTCTTGCTTTCCTTGGTCTCCTATACAAATAATGCACGCAGCAGCTAATAATGCCTTTGCTCTGTAACTACTACAAAGGAAAGCACAGTCTAGGGAAAGACATATACTAGACATTTCTAAATTCTTGCAAACATTATCTGCAATAACCTGTGATGTAGCAAATACAACTGACAATACTCAGTGCTTCTTCATCACTGGGAAAAGTATCTCAATGAAGAGCTACCCAGGGATCAACTCCAGAACGTAATAAAAGGTTTGTGCCTTGCACTATTAATAAAAAGTTAGCAACGTTCCCTGCTGTGTTGTTGTTAACTGGACTTCTAATAATGATATTACAAAATAATATGCCCCTATCTAGCTCAGTAGCCAATAGCATTAATTTTGTAAGACTGGACAGAGAAAAGAATTCCTGTGTATTGTACTCAGGAAAGCTGCTTTAGAACTCGTGATTGGAGGAGTGCTTATAAAGGCACACTGTACGTGCAGCCACACATGCTTACATCTGATACCTTTCTTACTATAACAGAATGACTGTGAACAATCAGATCAGCACTTGTGAAACTATTAAAGTATAGGTTGAAACACTGTCCTCGTACAACCAGACATACTAGACCTGTGAGAGCAGAGGTGTTAATTAAGATAGTGGAGATCTGTATTCATAATTCTGAATACAAGCAGGAATAAAAACTATGTAGAGATTTTTGAAAAACTTTAAGAATTTCTTTTTTCAACATTATGAAATAGTACATTATTCAGAGTACAAGCTTTCAAACAGTAAATGTATAAATTTCCTACAGCTGAAGGTGAGAATTTGGCTTGTATTTACATTAGCTGTCAGTAAGTTGCTATTTGTATGTACACAAAGCATTGCTATCCAAAACCTTTACATAGGCATATCTGGCATCATAATTAATACTGGATAAATCAAACAAACATGAATTGTTTACACACTCTTCCTTTTGTGAGTAATAAATTACTGATGACAAATACAGCTTGGATGATTTGCTGCCAAAAGTTACTCAATTTTTTCTTTTTCTAAACCTACTGTCATTTTTACCTTGTTCAGAGTATCATGTAGATACTGTGTAACTCTGAAACACAATGAGAGTCTTCAGAGCCTCTTAGAGAAAGACTCTTTATCAAGAATCTGCCACATTTTGGTGTACATGCATTGCCCTTGTGACAAGGATCCATCCATGTAGTTGTGTATTTTCAACAGAGGGCGGCATTGGGGAACCATTTATTGTTTCCTCACATAAAACTGTAGATGAGGAAGGCATAGCCACTGTCTGTGTGTGGTACACACAGTTCAAGGCTGAGACTACAAAACCTATTTCCTTTCATAAAAAGGTTAGATGACTGCAACTTAAATTTAATTACTGCAGATAACATTTTCTAGATAAACTTCCTCGATAGAAATCACTGCTGTTTCTACCTTGCAGATAATTTTATTTTCTAGATATTCTCATAATTTTAGGTTAGTACTGTTTTGGTACATGATCAATTCCAATGCTATAATATATAATGAATAAAAGGACAGCTCTGCCATGAAAAAAATAGCATGTGAATTATTTCTCCACGCGTCTGAAGCAACAAACTTGGAAAGGTTAGCAATACGAACACTTCCTTTAGTGCAATTTACATGATTATGTTCCTAGTCTTTGAAAAGCAGACTAAGTTGTGCTCTCGACCCTGTTCAGCAGATTTGAGCAGATTAAGAGTCATTTAATACATAAACACTGAGCCACCAGGCTAGATATGCAGCCCTGGTTTCATGGCCTTTTGTCAGGAATCTTGCTAACTGTGCTGAAAGTAGAAAGACTATACTCATGACAAACATGAAGCTACTCTCATACTCTATAGCAGCCACCCTTGGGTATGTAAAAGACACTTGTAGAGCAATACTGAACTCCCTCAGTCACTTACTAATTAGCATACCTGGCATGTTGTTCTGCATGGCCAGAAAGAAGCTAGCGTCCTACTGTGCCACTGATCAAAAAGATCTTGACCAAGCATTCTTATTCTGAAATAAAAAGTAGTCAAGATTGATTCTGAGATGCCACACAGGTACACTTACAGCTTTCACCAAACACATACATAACATACTGTATGGAAAGCATGTAAG